TCTTTCGGAATTAAACTTTTTTTTTTAAATGTACGAAAAAATTTCTTACGCTTAAAAAATTTGTCGATTTTTATGAGAAAAATCTTTATCTTTTATAAAGAAGATAAGTCGTACAAAATTATCTTGTTTCACATTAGAAAAAAAAAACAGATTTATTATTCATTTGTAAAATAAATCAGTAATACTATGTAACGTTAATTGAACATGAAAATATTAATATTTTTTCATATTTTTCTGTTACGATAAATCGTAAGTCATTTCCATTTATTATATAACGTGATATTTTGAAACAAATAATTATTATAAATTTTCTATTTATTATTAATTATTATTAAATTTTCTATTTCCTATGATCTGGCTCTCCGAAAATTATTTCGCGTAATTCTTTCAAACATTTGATCAAAACATGATATTACGTGTAAAAATAAATCTGAATATTGTACAATAAAGCTTTAATCGGTAAGTGGTAAAATTAATCAATTTTATGGAGAAAGCATAATATATATATATAATGATTATTATTTCTAATTGTATATATATATTCGTAATTATACGTGTCAATTTTATATTATTATCCTCAATTTTATATTATTTATAATCGATCAGATTTATTGTTTACGTGCAATTAACGTGAATCAGCAATCGGATAAGATGAAATAAGAACTATATCCACGTTATATTGGATTCAATATCCAAATGATTTAATCAACAGAATCACTTTATTTTATTTTTTATTCATTTCATTTGATTTATAATTAAATTATATTAATTTAATAAATAATTGTGAATCTATATTTTTCTATACTGAAAATTATTTGATTTCGGTATTTAGAGAAACCATGTCGTTTACGAATATATCAACGTTCTACGTTCTAAAAAATGTCTTCAAAGACAAGAAACGGTGTAGTCCGAAAAATTAAATATTAATAACACGTAAAAATTAGGTTTTTTTTTCCTTGGATTTCGATCCGAAAAGTTTAGCAATAAAATCGTATTATAGGAGTAACCTAGACATATAATCAAAGGAAGGAATTTCGTGAGAAAATATCCGAGTATTTATAATAGCATCGGATCACGGAACATAAAGAAACTTCTCTATCGATTTTGGATCAGTAATCTTGTGAAAGATCATCGAAGAGATTCATAAAATCTTTGAATGTTCATTCACAAAAAATATCGAATCGATTGGAAAAAATATTATTTACTCATTAGAATTTCAAATTTTTGAAATAGGAAAAATTATGAAGAGAAGCAAAATTAAAAGAGTCGGATAATTTAGATTTTTTAAATTTAACATTCTTATTTTTATTATATTTATTACATTTGATAGTGTAGATTTATAGTATAGATCGAATAACTTTATCGAATATTCGAATAATTTTATCAAGTATTTTTCAATATTAAAAATTTAAACGATATTTAATCCTATAGATAGATTCCATAAATCATTAGGAAATTATTAATTATGTTCTTTTTTTTTTTTCAAGCATTCTAATTATTTCTAAAACATGATTGAAACGAAATAAACTTAGAAATGTTTGATATATTGATATATTGTTTGATATATATGTTGATATATATGATGATATATATGTTTGATATATTATGTTATATAGAATAGTAAATTCCTCTGATGAAATTTATAAATTTTTTTCTTTGATGTTTTAGATGATGCAGACTAAGAACGTAAATCAAACCGTATATGGAAATGATGTAAGTATTATAATTACAAAAATTATAAATTATTTTGAAATGTATAGGATGCCAACCGTCGCTATAATTTTTCTAATAACTTAAGCAATTAATATGTTTATTTTACAATAGTTGATTTTCTTTTTATTTTTTACTATTAGTTTTGATATTAAAAAATTTGAAACAAAATTTTTCTTCGATGAAATAATTTCTTCGATAAAATTGTATTCTTCTTGTCTATCTTGGAATAGAGTAATTATGAGATAACATGTTGTTGAATTTGAAAATATTACTATACATTGCAGTTATATTATCATTCGTGTAGAGAGATATTTTCATCAATTAATTACCAACAAATAAAAAAATAAAGCCAAAAAAATATTTTAATATAATTAATATTTGGAGAGAAAAAAGCTTCTTCACTTTATTTTGATGATTTTTGATCACATCATAAAGGGATATTTCTGCCTAAACTCGTTATTATCTTGCATTGGGATGGAAATATTTTCAGCCTATCGCGATTCACGATGAAATAATTTTTTAAGTAATTCAATGTATAATATGTAAGTAAATAAGTAGTTTCTTGATATCGCAATGATTTATATTAAACAAAAGACAAATTGCAATCTGATGTATGACTGCAATTAATGCATATATTATCATATACATATACATATATATTTAAAATTTTATTTAATTACTTTTTTTTTGCAAATATCTCAAAAAATAAAATCGAACAACGATATAATGTTAAATCTAGAAAATAAAATAAAATGTCAAATAGAAAATATGATACTCGACACAGATCGGAAAATAACTTTCTTATTCTCTTATTTTGATTGAAATCAAATTGTTGGACATGTATAATCTTGTATCCTATATATATATTTGTATAAAAAAAAATAGATATAAAATAATAACTTTTATCCGATATGGATATTACACTATAAAAGCAATTTTGATGCTAATCATTTTTATTAATCTTTCCTCCATCCAAATTTTCTTTTAAATTTCGCTCAATTGTGCTGTTTATATATTACAGAAACGCCAAATTGACTGCTCGACCGGAAGTAAGTACGCTTTTGCATCTCTCAAACTAACCTCTCTTCGTATAAGATAAGAAAAAAAAATTTTTTTTTAAATCCTTACACTGAAAATCTCGACATTTGTCAAACAAAAAAATGCAAAAATGGCAAAAAATATATATACATATACAATTGATGATCTTGATCTTAATTTGATTTACTAAAAATCGTTCTGCTAAAAAAAAAAAAAACAAATAATGCTTTTTTTTCGAAATAAAATTAATTAACTAAACAGGGAAATAAAGAAAATATATACTTATTTTTTATAAACTATTCGTTCATTGAATAGACAAATCTCATTTATTTAATTTTATAATAAGTTTATTTTTCGATGATATTATCATTTATTATTATAATATAATGAATTAGATTAAATACGTTTAAGATTTGTTTAGGAGTTTAACAACGGATCTTTTTTTATTACATACATTTGCTCATGTACATTGATACATACATTGTATGCTATTAAAATCTACGATACGATAAAAAAATTTATAAAAAATATATATATATATAAAAATACAGGCGAAAGTTAAATATAAATTATTAATTTGATTTTTTTAACTTAAGTACATTATACTTGATGTATATTTCATAAATATAATTGATAAAAAAGAAATGATATGAACGAATAAATCAAATAATGCATAAGTTGTCATGACGTTATTATGTTACAACAATGCTAATAAATATATATATATATATTAATTTTAATTAATATTTTTAATAACCAATCGATGAATTAAATACGATATAAACATAGGATATAAACATATATCGATAAAGTAGAAATCTGCAACAATTATTTCTTTTTTCATAAATCACGAATATTTGCAGCAATTCATTTGCAACTTACTTTATAATTGAAATTCGATTGATCTATACCGAGTATTTTCTAAATTATATTCTATATTCTATACAATGTTGTAATTATTTTATTACAATTTTATGTAATTTTAAATTTTATTTTATTTCAATATTTTTGTCAATTAGAAAAAATACATTGATCACCGATAATTCTTATTTTTTATTTATTTAAACAATTTCGTTAAAATGAATTATCAATTTATTCATTGATTATTTTGCTATTAAATTTGAAATATCATGTACAATAGAATTACGATGTTTGTACAATAGAATCTTTTGTTGTTCGTTATTTTATTGTCTATACTTTCATCTGAATTTTCTCGTATCAATAATATATATTATCCGAACAATATATATCCTCCTATTAGAATAAAAATTGTATTTAAATATATTTCAAATACTAAATATTAATTTTATTTAATCATTATCGATATTTGTTATAATTATATATTTCGATTTTGATTTCTTTCTTTCTTTCTTTTATTTATTTACTTAAAGTATTGTATATAATTCATTTTAATTTCAATCAATGATAAATATCTCGTTAAACAACATGGGGGAAAAGATACTTAATTGAATCGAATATGTATCTATGTATCTAAGAAAGAAAAATTTTAAGGCTAAAATTTTTAATTCAGAAAGATTTCATTTATACATACATACCGGCACGCGAGTATATAGAGAGGAATCAATTTATAATATTAAAAATTAATAAATTTAATTTAGATTTTTCATTTATCGATCAATCGATGAAATAGCATAAAATTATCATTTCTTATCATAACTGTATTTCGTTGCATGTCGTTCCATTTCAATCGCAAATTCGAAGACAATCACAGGTGATAGATAAAAAATATCCATAAACGATACAATTCAATTTACGTGGTTCAAAATCACGATACGATATTCGCCTTTATGATTATTCTTGATTATTATTATTAATAAGAATTCGAGGACCATTTTAAACCGCGATCAAGAAGATCGAGAAGAAGAATCACAATCGATAAAGAAGGAATCGAATCGTTCCACTCGGTAAAGATCGTCGAATCCTGTAGAGGCGCCTCGACCTTCGTTGCGGGCCCCAAAGAATTAAGAATCCTCTTGTTCACCGATAAACCTTGCCTGTAGCACGCAGGTGGGGCGAGGTGAAACGAGGTAAAGAGAGAGGAGAGAGATGGTTACTCCCGGTGCCCACCTGGCGTCTCACCCGAGGCTTCACGCCAAGTATTACTACGTCGCTGCTCGGACGAGCTGCTTATGGGATAGCACGCGTCAAACAAAGTGGCGAAAATCGTCGAGCACGAGGTTGTTTTTTTTTTTTTTTTTTTTTAATCGAAGGATCGGGAGCGCGCGAAACGTGATCGAAGAAGGTGGTAAAGACGATGGTCAACAACCATGTCGAAGGGCCGCCAACTTTCTCAGATGGACTAGAACAGGTGAACTGAAACGAGGAAACACGCTGAGCTGACTTCCTGTAAGATCGCATGTCCTAAAAGGATAGATTTCGAATCAAATTGTGAATCGTCATGGCAAAGGTAGTTTGGATCTAGTTTAACGGTGATCGGAAAGATTTTAATTCTGTGAAATAAATTAATTGAAATTTGGAAAATTTGTTGCAAAGAAAGAAAAGTTAAATAAACTCGACTCACCGTTTCTTTATATTTCTTATATATCGTTTCTTTGGTTTCGAGGATGCTGAACTGTTGCTTTCTTTCGCGTTGGCTGTGCGAATGTTTCACAAACATGGGGAACGTGCGATTTTAAAAGGTGGCTTGAAGTATATGCGTGTTTCAATACGCAGAAACAGAGTGAAAGGAGTAACATTCAATCTGGTAGAACAGAGTTGCTTTGAGAAGAGCATCGATTATTTTTAAAATCTCGCACGATCCATTCGTTCTTTAATTTCTTCTATTTCGATGATTCAAAATTTATGAATCTCAATTGTGTTTCGTTACTTTTTAATAGAAGAATAGTGAGAATGAATTTTCTTGAGAAATATAAATGGAAAATTTGTTTAAAAGTTGAAAGAGCACAAAAAGAATTGAAATCGTTGACGATAGAATATTGGTGAGATAATTGAAGATAAGATATTGAAATAAGTTTTAATTATTTTTAAAATTCTTATATTCAATAACTTATCCTTTAACAAAGCTTAATAATCAAGGTTACGTTTTAAAATTGATTAACAATGACAATTTCATGGATTCGTTTGCAAATCGAGGGAAAAAAAGAATTTATGGATAGTCGGTGACAGAGAGTAGAGGAAAAAAAAATATTGAAAGTTGGATAAATTACGTGTGATATTATATAATATCATCGATGTATGTAATAAAAAGAAACGAGCAAGAGAAAGAATAACAAATGTACTAGTTACTAAGGAGTTGATAATTGAAAATCGAAAAATTTATAATAATATCACCAAAGATAATCACCATCCAAATAGAACTAAGAAAAATGTAATAAAAATATTCAACGAATGTATATATACATGCGAATCGTTTATTCGAAGAATTATCATTAAAAAATATTGGTCGTAGAATTTGGAAAAAGTTGACAACTTTGAAAATTAATAATATCGTTTGGACGAGATGTTCGCCTATGCTTAAATAATTAAAAACACAGAAGAATGCGAGAAATCTGAATGAAAGAGCGATAAAGAGAAAAAAGAAAGAGAAGTTGGACGGCGTGGGAAGGAGAAAGTGGGAGAATCAGTTGGGAAGAGTGTGGTAAAATAGCACGGAGTGGGATCATCGAATCGGTAGACTCGGATGTGCAAGGTCGGAAAGGAAGACGCGTTGTTGAGAGGCGGGAAGCGTGGAAATAAAAGTTGGTGTCGCTCGTTAAAAGGATGCGTGCGCGTGTGTGAAGGGGAATTTTTCCTTTGGAATCTTGATTTTTGCGTGTGTAGTGTGGGTATAGAACGGGACGGGAAGAGGAGGGTATCTAGCTGATGCTACCTAGCCGATGGAAAATATTTTCTGCTATGCGATTCCTGCTCGGCCATCGTGGGATTTCACCTGAGAGGTAAAATGCACGTGTTTTTTTTATCGTTGATAAAAATGATGAGATCAAGTTACAGAAAACTTATAAAAATAAATAAATCGAAATCGAATTCATTGGAAAAGATTCGTTTCGCGGAATTCGAATATTATCATTCATATCATCCACCGATGAAAAGTTTTCGGCTAAATGCACAACGACGAGGAAAAACAAACAACTTGATCTCAAGAAATTGCACGATGAACGTAAGATTTCTTCTTACGTTTGCCAAGTATGATACGTGTAATTTCAATGCGGTTGCCTCACATCGACGCTCAAACAGGCTCTATAAAACGTATTACTGGAATCGAATCAACATTATCTGGAATTTGTGCCAGCATATTACGGTGGAATGTTGCGTTCCAAGCAAGTTGTAAACACGAGATCGCGAATATATTCGGTGAACGTGTGCACGTAGAATATTTTTTCGAAAAGAAATTTACGATTTCTCCTCGATTCTCTTCAACGTGTTAATGGAATTTTTTGTTTATTATAATTAATAATTAATGAATATTAATGAAATAAAATTTGTCTTTTTTTTTTAATTTCAATTAATTTCACTTTTTTTTTGTAAATATATATTTATATATTTTTAGTTTTAAGGCAATTTTAGAAATATATCATTTTATTTTATTCTATATTTTTAAACTATTCTATCAAATTATTACAATCTTATATAAAAATATTAATAAATAATACAGTAGTAACAAAGTAATACAAAATAATAACGTATTTACAATTGATATTTTATTATTTATTAATTAGAATATAATTATTATATTACGTACGTGAATAACGTAATAATTGAGGTGAAAATATTTTAAATATCAATAGTAATAAACTTGTGATACTTTGTTAGAGATAAAATCATGAGTAATGTATATATTTATTTGTTCGAAAGCTTTTGAATAGTACGCATTCTTGATTAATAGATTAATTATAAATTGATCGATTTATTATTTTTAATAAAATATATTACGAAAAGTTTTATTATATTTGTTTAATTTTAATCATAAAATTGATTTAAATTAAACAAATATATATAATATAATATATAATTATACATTTAGTATTTTGACTATTTTAGTGTATAATAACTGAAAATTTTTGTGAAATTGTTATATTACTAAGAAAACTCGTAAAGTTAATCGTATATCATTAGTTGGGCTATCATTAACAGAATTACATTGTTAAAAGATGCCGAATAGACATGAAAAGTAATTTTGAATGTAGATGCAAATGAACGGAAGAGAATAGCGTAATCAAAATGCGGAAATGCAATGAAATAAAATTTAATCGTGATTATAGAAAAGTGAAAGTAAATAGTAAGATTATATATACTTGTATACATTATCATCGAATGATGATCGCATATACATTAATTACCAGATTTGGACAAATAAAACTATTGTGTAATAAACTAAAATTAAACATAAAATTATACATTAGTAACGTTATTAACGGAAAAATTATATGATGCACAATAGATGATATCCGAGAAGATTGAAAGNATATATATATATATATATATATATATATATATATATATATATATATCTATTCTTGTTTCCAAAAATATTGGTATAATTTGTAAAACAAATTGAAGAAATATATATTTTGAAAACGTGTAAAAATATTCGAACGTGTTATAAATTTATGTTGTTGAATTAATAAAAAATAATCAATTTTTGATAAAGATTTTTACGTGTGGCTGTCTCTATATATTAATTGTTAAAAAAATATAAATAAATGATAAAATTATTGGATAAATTATGATATAACATTAGTAAATTTTGAGAAGATGAAAAGAAGGGATAGGAAAATATAAAGCGAGTATCTGTTAGTTTCTAAGATATTGATAAAAATCTTCCGATGTTGAATGTTGTCTACGCGTGAAAATATCGATTAAATGTCGTTTTTCTATCATTTCATTATTTTTACAAATAATCAAACTTGTATATCCATCACACTTGGTATCTATTCGCAAAAAGATTTGAAAATAAAATATAAAACAATTTTTAAACGATATAATCATTGAATAGATCAGCCAATACTATGTGTTTATAGATAGGTGAGGATCCATTTGTGGACGAATAGGTATTCAATGCATAATACATCGAAAAATTTCTAATAAAACTCGCGACTAAAATTTTATTATATTTAAATATCTATCCTATCTCTTGTCAAAATTTCGATTCGAGTATGACGATTGAATCGTATCGTGTATTTGTTACAAACTTACTTTTGAATAAAATTTAACTGAATTTGAATAAAATTTTTCTAACGATTTCACACAGACTTTATCAGTTGTTTAATACATGAAACAAAAATATTTCGATGAATTCCACAAAAATGTTTCTCATGGAATTAGAAGACGAGAAGAATTAGAAAGCTAAATTCAAATCAATAATATCTTTCGCAAATATATTTGACGATAGGTGAATTATCGCGTTGAAGTAATTTTCATTATCAAAACGAAATAAATAAAAGAACAGAAAAGGAACGATTCTCTAAGGATTTAGCCGATTTATTCTTTTTTTTTCTGGGCAAATCTAGCGGGATACGAAGATGTGCTGTGTTCATCGTGGCTTTATTTTATCATTGGTCAGTGGATAGATAGACAAAGGTGCTGTACAGTTATCTACGAAACGGTTGATACGCGTTACGGCAAAGATGAAAGCAGGCAAAACAGCAGATGTTCGATACCGTTGAAAATACGCGAATGCTTCGAACGCTTCCACGAAGAAAATCACTCGAACCGACGCGACGGATATTTGGGAGGAGGAAGGGAATTTTTCGCTCGTTCGAAGGATCAAACTACCAGATGATTCGACGATAGGACGAGGAAACTCGATCGTTTATTACGGCGGAGAGTAGTGATTTTCGCGATTAGAAAGGAAAAATAAATAACTGTGCGATGTATGTGTATGTGATTGTCGAGAAAACGAGCAACAGGGATCGAGAAATGGGAGCTTGTAAAACTGGTACGGAGGCGTTTTGCTTTTTCTCCGATGCTAATATTAAGCCGGTCGGAAAACTTGGACGTTTCTTCGTACGCTTCTTGGACCGACGATATGATATATCAAATCGTTGAACGAAAAGTTATTTAAAGCGAATATATCTATATGGAATATCTAATATAGAATAATATAAATATTTTTTAAAGTATTTGAGAAAGTTAAAAATATATTCTTGATTATGCCTTTTGATACGATAATAAAATATTTTTATATTTTTATTTCTAGATGGGATGAAAGGAAAGGTATGTAAAAAAAAAAAAAAATGCGAAAATCGACGAGATATCAGCGTGAAAGTAAAAAGAATGTCAACAATTGGCAATAATTGGCAATAATTTTCAAGCCACTTTTCACGTGATGTTTTCGATTTCTAAACAAGATAGAAACATGGAAATATCAAAAGAATATATTTATGCGATAATATAAGCAAGATCTTATCAAATGATATCGTACTAAACTAAATTGACTATAACGGAAGCGAAGCGAAGTTCAATGAATCGTTACTTAGTTTAGCTAATATTCAATATTCAATATTGAATATTCAATTGCTTTATAAATGACATTTATCATACATATCATACTCGGCGATAATGCTTCTTTTTAAAAGATAAACTTTCTTGTAACCAAACTTTCTTAACGCATTTTATTTATTAATTTTTCTTATTACTTTGAGAGATAGAGGTTCTAGCCTAATTTAATGACTTTTCTTATACGTGTATTTTTTTTTTTTTTTTACAAATATTCAATAAATAATCAATTATCAAATTATCAACCAATTTATCAAAATATTTATTATATGTTGAAATTTATAATTTTTAATATATAGGTATAATATTTTTTAATATATATATATATTAAAACAAATGATATATGTTTGTGTCCGTGGAAGAATTTCAATTTCCTAATTGAAAATGAAATTGGATCATTATTCATGCAAGATTTTATCTAAAGATCTATAATCGTACAACGATAAAAAGAAGAACGATGAAAAAAGAAAAAGAATAACGATTCGTAGGATGCAGATCGCAATTGAAATGGTTTAGCGATACTTCTCTCTTTCTACGTCGCGTGGTTAAGTTTACGCTGGAAGAAGGATTTTCATTCTCACGGTGGCGGTGCAGCACGAGAGAAGGAGAGAGGGACGCGGCCTCGATAGAGGAGAATGAAACCCCCTTCTCCCGGTAAAACTAGTTGGCTGGCAAAAACTAGACGCTATTCAAAGAGCGTTTGTATGAAGGTGGACGGACGGCAAGATGCGTCGAGAGGCGATGGTTTCAGGATGGCGCGTGGAAACATAAGGAGCAAGATGAGAAGGAAGCGCGCGAAAGCAAAAGAGACGGGGTTGAAAAGAAGAATGAACCAATGGAGGACCAATTTGGAGGATGGGATAATTTCGTTAGCGGGATAGATCGCTGTTTAAGTGAATTTTTATTACCTGCCTGCTTCTTCCAATATACATATATCTAATATTTGCTCCAATGTATTATCTGTTTCTCCTTTTTTACAAATTTTTATACCGTTTTATAACAGTGTTATTATGACACGTTTGGTGAATCGGATTTGAACGTTATTCGAACCTAATTTTTTAATTTTACTAAAGGGACGTTTTTTTTTAAATATTTCTTCGGAGAGATAAGAATCGTTAAAAATGATATCGATTGTTTAAATATCGCAAATATGATATTTACAACACTAATATCGCAAAAAATTCTTTCGAGTTCCGGTTTCTTTTTACGAATATTTATTTTAAAATACTGATAACAAAAAAAACGTAAAAAAGAAAATTTGTTTTAAAAAGGCAGTTTTTTGTCTCAAGCATAATAGGATAATACTATTTTTAGCCAATTTTAAGAACAAGTTTAAGAACAAGTTGCATTAGGGATAATCTTCGTTCAAATCAAGGTTACCAGATGATCAGCTATGTTTCTTCTTTTTTCTTTGTTTTTCTTTTCTTTTTTTAAACGAAAA